ACTCCCAGATTCGACCACCAGTCCTGGCCGTTTCTTGGGCGAAGGGGCCTAGAAAACCAATAGGAATTCGATTAGATAATTGCATCGAAAATCAAAAATCGAAAGCCAGAAGGAAAATGAAGAAAATCTGGTTACCGATATAGAAGGCTTCTTCGAAGAGCCTTCCCCCTGTTGGTTGCTTATGGTCTTCGCCGGCGCTGTAGTCTTCGCCGGCAGTGGAGGTTTTGTTGAAGGGCCTCCTCCCTGTTGGCCTTCTGTAGCCTTCTTGGCTACAGGCTTTCGAACAACTGAAAGCAAATAAAAAGTTAACAGGCTAGCAGTCGAAAAAGACAAAAAGTAATGTGAGAACATGAACTTACATTTCTTTATTTTGTCCAACACAAGGACAAAAGACTTCTGCAGCTCATCCATGAAGTCCTTCTCGTCGAAGAAGTACTCAGCATAATAGCTTTTCCACCACTCCTCGAAGGATGGTGAGCAAAGGAAATTGAGCTGGTAGTCAAACAGCGAGAGGATTGTTCGACCAGCATATCTTCCGATATGCTTGATGGCAGCTTCTTCTGTATAATCATTGCAGAAGTACAACATTGACTTCTCTCTTTGAAAAATCGGAGAAGGTAGGGTTTGGATAATACCAAACTGGCGAGATACCAGGTTTGGTTGGTAGGCAATCAGACTCAAATGAGTCTTTGAGCTCTTGAATCGAAGAGGCATGATCCTTGGTGTAAGGAACGCCTCCCAAAGTATTGTATGCTCATCGACATTGGGACCACTCGACGCTCTTGGATGTGGCCTTGTGAACCATGATGGGCCTACCTGTCGTCGAGCGAATGGAGCCATAGTTGAAACAAATTCCTTCCTTCGAGCGAACATCAGAACGAAGTTGGTGAAGGTTTGCTGAAACTCCAGTCCATCTTCTGTAGGTGTCAGCAGAGTCAGCCTGGTTCCCTCGACGCGTCTATTCGCTATCGCTGGAGCCTGTTCATTTACCTGAACCTTCTTGGGCAAGAAAGATTCGAAAGTGGCGTTGAGCCACAGTTGGAGTAGCCAAAAAGGCCCAGCGAGTAGCAAACTGGCCCTGTCCTCGATATGTTTCAGAAGAGTTGCCCCATTGCTGATCGAATCATAGAGGCTAGCCAGAATCAGTTCTGCCAAACAGATGTTTTGGCGATGATGCAGTTGAGTAGCAAGAGTGACCATCTTTTTGGTCACCTGCAGAGACTTCGAGCAAAACACAAAGCGAGTTAGCCATAAGGCTAGAAACGCTATGTGTTCGACATCCGACACAGCATCTGTCGACCTGTCGTGATAATGGTTGATGAAAGTGGTGTATGTTGGTTTGGTCTCAGAGAAGCCAATTTGGTCCTCCGACATCTCCTCCGGATCGAAGTAATCCCCGGTGGGTCGAAGGCCAGTAATAGCGGCCACATCGAAGAGTGTGGGGGTTAGCATCCCACAGGGAAGATGAAAAGTGAAGTGGGAGTAGTCCCAGAACAACAGTGAAGCTATCAGCATCTCCGGGGAGTAGTTCAAACCTGTCTTCGACAGCATCACTAGGTCGAAGATTCCCATATCCTTCCAGATCGAAGTTTGGTGCTTCTCCACCTTTGTTAGCCAAGCAACGTAATCGGAGGTAAGGTTAGGGCAAGACCTGAAGACCCTAACACCTCTGTTGAAGAAGCGGAGGTCGATTTTTTCACGTGCAGGGTCTTCATTGTCTTCTGCGTCTTTCTTGGCGCATGCGACTGGTTTGAGTTTCTCGACTATCGGGAAATAGCTCTTGATCTTCAGAGCCTCAGAGATACTTGGATTCATGGGGCCAGACATTGCAAAGATCTGGTTGGAATATCCAACCGGGATCATCAAGTGGCGCGAGTAAGCATCACGAACGGCGATGTCAGAAGGTTCAGGAACCCTTCGTTTGCCTGTAGAATTTACTACCGGAGCAGTGACGAAAACCTTGGGTTTAGCATGTTCAGTTGGTGCGTTAGCACTAGGAGCAGTAGAAGCAGATGCCATTGTTTGAGATGAGGTTGAAGATGAAGTGAAAGAGGAAGAGTTTCTGCAAAGATAACAAGCTTGTATGAAAACAGAGAGGTTTGAAAGGCTAGATGGCGTAAAAAGTCCCACAATGGGGTACTTACTACTATTTATAGTAGTGGGAAAAATCCCCAATAACGAGGACATTAAATGCCATTTAATGCTGCAGGAGTTAGTGGGACGCGTGGCAGCCCCCTGTTGTTTTGGCCGTTTCTGCAGAAATAGAGGGACGCAGCGTGCGTCCTCGTTTTTGGGAATTGTCATAATGACAAATTCTGAAACGACGTTTGGTACTGCACGCCGTACTGAAAGTGACGTCCTAGGATCAAATCAATGATGGTTTTCTTGGGATTGCCAATAGTTGGTAAAAAGCAACAAAAAGTGCACAAGTTAATTTGTGACTAAGCGTGGAAAGACAGGTGTCGAATGGCGTTTCAAAGAATGCCTTTTTCTTTCAGAGTCGAAATAAGGCATTCTTGGGGGGCAATTTGTTGGCTCCCAAATTCGACACCTTTGTTTTGATTGATGTCAGCCATTAAAGCTGAAGGATGTCTTCGACTGGTTAAGTCTGTCGAAATGCCCGTCGAAAGATGGCAAAGTACTTAGGAGATTTCTTCCAAGAAAGAAGGCTGGTTGCCTTCGACGTCGAAGGAGTTTCTCGTCGAAGATGTCTCTTGACGAAAGTGTTCGATGATTCAGAGTGGAGCAGTTTGAAATTCAAGCGTTTGGAGGGAAAACGGTTTCCAGCAGTTACTACGTGCAAACGTGCAAGGATCTGGAGCGTCGAGCATGGAGAACGTGCCAAGTGGATTGATCTCGAAGCAGTGTAACTGCCCGACGGTTACTTGGGATGTTTTAGTATAAATAGGAGTAGACATGTAGTTTCTCGGGTGTGTTCACAATTCTATACAAAGTCACTCATATAGATTCGAGTACCCAGCGTGTGAGAAAGAATTGTTGAGAAATGTATGTGTGAAACACCAATTTTATCAATTAAAGTCATTTACTTTTCCAGAAATTTACTTGCTTTCTCCTTTACATTCTTGTCGAACCTTTTACTTTAAAGCCTTGTTTATTTTACCAAGTCTTTCCTTTATGCAATTCATTTAAAGCCAATTTATTTAAAGCCTTATCCAATTCAATCAAACTTCAAAATCAACCTATGTCCTAGGATCAATCTGATCGATCCTGCGAGTAACCAAATAAGTAACCATTTGGAGGATCAGCGGTTGTTTACCAAAACCCAAGGTAAACAGTACTTTATGGTTAAGTAGAGAGTGGATATGACGGTCTCCAATGCATTGAACGGAGACTTGCCAATGATGATGCTATACGAGATATTTACGAGATATATGACATTGATTGTGGTGACATTTTCTCCTTTCCCAAATGTGGTTTTGATGGAATTGTGACCTCAAACTTGCACCTGCTTGCTCAAAAATCCCACCAACGAGCCTTTAAAAGGCTGAAGGAGTTATGAGTTAAGTTGTAACCTTTCAAACACTTCCCAATATAAAATATTAGTTAAACTCTTTGGGTTAATGATGACACTTTTGATATCCCATTCAAATATATGCAAGTTAATGACCAAGAGGTCATCTTCCTGTTGCACCCCGCTATGAAAAGACAATCTTGGCCATATATGATACCTTCAACTCTAATAATGATTAAAAAATATGCATAACCTGACGAGTATACCTCATTCGATAAGAGTTTAACCTTTTCCCTGTAAAACCTCCAGAAATAGTATTAAGCGGGTGTCACACTAGCTCAACATCTTACTAGTCTCTATTTTTTCTTGCCATAGGACTTCTCGATTGAGTTATTTTGATTTAGTGTGGTCATTCATCTTTGTTACGTGCAACCCCAAACACATATATCCTTAAGTAACATTTCTGTATTAAATGTTCAATTTCTTTCTTTAACTAGTGAAAATCATCTGTATGATGCCCCTTCACTTTAAGTTATTTGCACCATCTATCAAGGTCACTTCCCATTACCTCATTTCTTTGTACATGAGGGGGAGGAATCACTCTAGTATGGTATTACTTCTCGTAGTGTTCGACTTCTCGGAATGTTTAAAGGTGTGAAAAAACACGTCGGCGTCCATGTTGGTTTGAATTTGTTCCTATTTCGGTTGGACTAAATTACTGGATTATTTTGGAATTAGATGATTTAGGTTTCTCGATATTCCGTTATTTTTTATCCCTCACTCTTTTCTCAGCATTACTCTCCTCTGTATTCACATAACATTTTGTCCTTGTCATGCTATTTTCCATTGAGTATGCCGACTTTTGTACGAGTAACACATTAAATTGTCCCGCCTTAAGGTTATTTTGGATAGTCATCACGAAAATTTCTTAGTTAAGGTGAATCGCATGATATTTATGACGAAAACACATTGCTCTCACTCACATGTATTTCGACTAATAACTAATAAACTCTTATTTATTGTAGCTACTCATCATGAGATTGGTCGAACTCATTCTCCACTCCACTAACATCACAGCTATCTCAATCTTTTCTCAGCCAACCCTTTCCGATGTCTAACTATGTATTTTGAAATTCAAACAACACAAATAAATCAATAGAAGTCAATCTAAACATACCTAAAACGCTTAAAAGGACTTGTAATAACATGACTCCGGTTGTTAATAGAAAATTCAAAAGAAATAATAGAAGAATATCCAGACAATATATACTCTTTTTAGTTGGAAGCTAGTGTATTTTGACAAAAATTTCTTTTTGACAAAATACATTAGTACTTATAATTATAAGAAGTCATAGTTTTTCTTGGCAGAAAACGCACCATCACCATTATCATGCAAACCCAATTTAACTTGATTAATTGTAAAGCTATACATGACCGGTTAATCTTCATAGATTCCATTCAAAACCAAAAAATGACAAAACAACATCCATCATGCATGACAACATATATAAACCCACAACAAAAATAACTAATAAGTTGCTCTCTTAAGAGAGGTAAATGTAATAGCAGATCCTATAGGCGCCTTCTCAACATTAATCCCGAAAGTATCATATCTGAGAAACAACTCCACCACCAAAAGCCTAGAAAACAGCACAACAAAATCCTTCCCAGCACACTGCTTATTCCCAACCGTAGGTTGTTCCGTTTCAGGACCATTCGACCATAGCACATGTTTCAACAACTTCTCTCCCTCCTCCCCAACAAACCTATCCGCAACAAACTCATCAGCTCTATCAAATATCTTACTATCCTTAGTCGCAAACGGTTGAAAACCAAACAGCATTTCACCTTCCTTCACTTCAAACGCATTCTCATGATTCTCTATCACAAAATCATGTTTCGCTTTCCCGTATTGCAACGGCACCGGAGGCTCAATTCTAAACGTCTCATAAACCACCGACTTCATCAACGGCATTTGCTCCAGTCCCGCCATAGTGACTTTCCCGCCATTCAATTTAACAACCGATCTAATCTCATTGGCTAACTTAGCATGAAGATTAACCCCCGCTCGTCCAATCCACTTCAACATATTCGGAAACAAAATCTTCATTCCACCAAAAGTATTAAAACAAGTGGCGAATATAAGGTTATGAACTGCTTCTTCTTTAGAAACTCCGAGTCGAACTGCTTCATCTAAGATCGGTCCGGACGATGCTTGGTAGAAAAATTCATAAAGTCTCTGGTAATCTTTCTTCACCAAAGCCGGTGGAAGACGAACAGTATGAAGAAGTGGTTCTTCAATACATTTAGGAAGACCTAATGTAAGAATTGGAGCTAGTTGAAGAAGAGTCCATTTTGTAACTATGCTTGGACCATCGGTTTTGAGTTTTGTTTCGGAAGGGTTAACTCCGTAGAATGCTTTTGAAAGGTAGTTAAAAGCTTCTTGATCGTTAACATCAGCGAAAATCGCTTTTCCCGTTTGTTCAAGATTGTCCTCTAAGGTGTCGAAGAGTTTTGTGTAGGATAAACGAAACTCAGGGATGAAATGGGTGCTTCGAGATTTGAGGAGGAAGAAGAGAAAGCGTTTGAGTTGGTCGTGTTTTGGTTCGGAGGGGTCGAGGTAAGAGAGGATTCGGTAACCGCCGGTGAGTTCGGTTGAAGGCATGAAGGTTCCGGTGAAGAGGTCTCGTTTTTCTACTTTGGAGTTGTCGAAGAGGATGGGGAAGGATTTGCCGTCGAGTAAAACGATGACGTTTGGGTTGGTTGAAATGAATGGGCCAGGTGGCATATTGGCGCGAAAAACGGTTGATTTGTATTTATGGATTCGGGTTCGGAAGAATTTGTCGCGGCCTTCGTTGTAGAAATAGTCTAGACGGTCTTTGATGGGGCCTACAAAAGGGAGGCCGTAGTCTCCGGGGATTCTTCGGAGTGGGAGTTTTTTTGTTGTTTCAAGTTCAGATATTGGTTTTTGCGGAACTGTGGTTAGTGTTGTGTTGGTTTCAGACAATGAGTTTGTTATTGGAGTCGTTGTATCTGTGTCTGTGTCGGGCACAGAGATTGATAGTGAAGAATCGGCTGTGCCGGACGCAAATGCTTTTAATGGAGCAACTGAAAGTGGAGTGAAAGGGCATTCGGACATGGAGCATCGAGTGAGAGGTTTTCTAGTTCTTTTTAATGGAAATTCAGTTTGGAGGAAAGGGGAGGATATTGAGATAAGAAATGATGATGCCATTTTTGGATGGGAACTTAGGAATAGAGTATAGATGAAAGGAAGGGAGGAGGGAAATGTTTTAATTTGCAGGAGTTTGGAGTTGATTAAGGAGTGATTGTTTTGGAAGCTGTGTTTATGATTATATATTCAATGAGAGATTGAACGTTGAAAGTTGAAAGTTGAAATTGAAGACCAATGTTGCAAAATTCGAATTGTTGAGAAATCTAAAAGTCAGTGTAATGTGCAAAATGTGCACTTTGCCGTCCATATATTCATTTTTACTTTTTGCTATTATTAACTTTAGACGGTGATGCATCTACTCCTTCCACTATTATAGAAAAAAATCATAAAATTTTGATCACTTTGATCATTATTTAAATATAAATGTTATTTAATTCAAATTACCATTTATTTGAGTTCAAACATATTTAATGTGGCTTAATTATTGAATTTCAACCACAATATTTTTTTTAATTTTGTTAGAACTAATTTATATTTAAAAGTTATTAGAATTAAAAATACTATTCTTTAAAAACAGTAGAGTTTTTGAAGTTGTTAGTAAAAAACAAATGTTTATGAGATTATGTTCAGAAATATGTTTAGTTTCTGGGATTTTAATTCATTTTGTTGGCATAACTGTTAAGTTTAATCTATTTATTAATTTAGTCTTTTAATTTATTTTTTGTTTGAGACTTACGTGACAATTTACTTTATATATAAATAGACTAATAATAACTTTTATTTATAATTAATCTTTTATATTTTTTTAGCTGTCATTACAAAATAATAAATATACATTTTCTTATTTTTCTACCATTATCATCTTATACACTACCAAATTTCACTTTGTGTTTGAGATAAAATTTAGAAAATTATTAGTTTTAATTAACTTTTTTAATGATAGCGTGTAGAGTTTAAGATCGAATTATTGAAAATGTAAAGGTAAGCCTGATTTGAAGGTTATCATATATTTAATTTTAAGACTTAGTCTTGAAAATTGAATTGAGTTTGTTAGTTAATTTAAAATTTTATTTGATATAAGTTTATTTAAATAGTGTCTCATCAATATTTAAATTGAATAACAAGTTAATAAAATTAAATTTTAGTTTAATATTTAACATAAATTTTTTAGAAAATTATCTTATATATAAAAATTTAATTGAAATATACTATTAATATAAAAAAAATTTATATGATCAATAAATTATAACCGTTAAATTTTTATATATGTTTGATTTTTTTAAAATCACATATAAAATATTACTTGTGAATGATTGTGATGGTGATCATGTAAAATATTTTGCACTAATACTATAAACAATTATTTTTTATATATAATACTCTCTATTTCTTTTTATAAACAAATTTTAATTAAATTTATTAAATAATTAATGTTTAATCTATGTATAGAATATTAAATTTCAATTATAATTTATAATATTTAATTAAATATGCAAAAATTAAATTGGATTAAGAAGTATAAATTATTCAAAAGATCAACGAGTTTACAAATTAATCAAAAATATAAAATATAGTATAATAATAGTAATAGAAAAATATTATTTATGTTTAGTTAAGTAAGTAGTCTGGTAAATTTTAAGAGACATTTGTAAAGGCTCTCGTCCGACCTATTTATTTAACTACGCTTTAAAAAAAAATTCAAACTTTGCCTATTTGCAATAAAAAAGAACTTTTAAAATTATTTAACAATACCAAGGTTTCTAGAAATTAGACAACACCAAGATCAATATTATATTTAACAAATCAACCAATTAAAACACTTTCAAAATTATTTATGGCTATTCATGTGGCACTCAACCAAAAATTCACAATACTAAAAAAAATAAAATATTCCGTAACAACTTTTTACCACTGCCACTTTATTAGATGGTAATTTAGTATTGTTAATTGTTTTATATAATTTAGTTATTAAATCTATTCTATTAGGGTCTATGTGACATTTTTTGTGTGTGTATAAATAGACTAGTTGTAAATGTCATAAATACAACAACAACATCATTATTTCTCTTGTAGCTTTTACAACTGTCAATCTATTTGCTCTCTTAAATATATATTCCTTTTGTTCATCACCTTGTGCACCAACAAAATTGATATCTAAAGTTTCAATTCTGATTCTTGGGAAACACGGAAAACACGAGTGAAATAATAAGGCGTTGTGTGATTGAGTTTTGGTTCTTGAATTCGTATTAAATCTTGAACAAAATCTGAACAGAATCATATTTTTTGATTCTGAGGGATTGGGAAATACTGTGTTTAGTAAGATCTGAGTGTTCTTTACAAGGTTGAAGATGAACAAAAACGGTAATTTGAGTACCAAAGTTCCTGTTTTTGATGGCAAGAACTGGAGCAGATGGATGATTCAGATGCACGTGTTATTTGGTGCTCAGGATGCTCTTGAGCTTGTTACTAATGGCTACGTTCCGGTTACAACAGATGCGACAAAAGCAGAGAGAAATAAATAGAGAGACGAGAGGAAGAAAGATCAGAAGACGTTGTTCTACATCCATCAGTGTGTGGATGTTAATGTGTTTGAGAAAATTACTGATGCGACGATGGCGAAGGAGGCATGGGACACACTGGTCAGATGCTATGGTGGTGACGCATCAGCGAAGAAGGTGAAGCTTCAGTCCCTGCGAAAGCAATATGGGAATCTCAATATGAAGAACAATGAGAAGGTTTCTGAGTACATCTCCAGAGCGATTCTGATCACTAATGAGATAAAAGCTTGTGGAGAAACCCTTTCGGAACAAGTAATCATTAAGAAGATATTGAGGTCGCTTACTCCTCAATTTGATTACATTGTTGTAGCAATTAAACAATCTTAAGATCTGGAAACCGTGAGAATAGAAGAGCTGCAAAATAGTCTATAGACGCAAGAGTTGCGTGTGACTGAAAGAACTTCTTAGAGGAAAGTTGAGCAGGCTCTGAAGGCTTCTTTTGTCAAGAAGGACCAGGAGCATTCTTGGTCAGAAACTAAGAATAGACGTGGTGATAGATTCCAGAAGTCAGAAACCTCTACTTCTTATGAGAAGAAACATCATAAAGGAAAGGATAAGTTTGATAAGAAGAAAGTTCAATGTTACTGTTGTAAGCAATTTGTCCATTTTGCTAAAGATTACTGGTCAAATAAAGGAAGGAAATCAGAAGAAGCAAATATAGTCAAAGGAGATTCTGATGATGAACTTGTGCTACAGATGACTTCTGGGTCTGATGGAAAGTGTTTGGTAGACTGGTGGTATATGGACATTGGCTATTCAAATCACTTGACTGGAAACAAACAATGGCTGATAGATTTTGACTCCAGAAGGAGGACAAAAATCAGATGTGCTGATGATAAATACCTTAATGCAGAAGGTATAAGAAATGTCAAAGTTAAAGTGAAGAATGGTGTAATACGGTGGGAGAACTAACTTTTTTTAGCGTTTTATCACAAATGTTGCGGTTAGCAAGAGTCGCCACCGACTTTTTTTATCCAACAAGGAAAGGTGAAAAGAACATGAAAGACCTTTGATAGATTTGAGTTTGGGGGTAAGTTATGAAAAGGGAATGTGTTAACACCCTTTTCATTCGTAGTTATCTACAGGATCTTAATTGCTTGATCACTTTAAAAATTGCTTTGTGTGTGTGTGTGATTGTTTGAAAATATTTTGAAATGCCAATGTAAGACATACTCTGTAATGATTCTTGTATCAGTCTTCAAGAATACGTACAAAGTGTTTTAAAAATATTTGTTTGAAAGTGTGATGTGTAAAAATAATTTATTTGTGATTTATTTTGAAATGTGCCAATGGAAGGCAAGCTTTGCAAAGATTCTCGTATCTGTCCTTGAGAAAATTTGCAAAGAGTTTTGAAAAGGTTTTTGTTTGATTTTGAAAATGTGATGTGAAAAGTTTTATTAAGCAAACAATTTTTAGAGTCTTACCCACTTAATTTATTGTCTTTCCTATTCTTTCCTTTTTTAGAGGAAAGAGACTATCTATGCCATTACTTGGTAAGAAGTCTTCTCCATTGGATGTTAAGGGACAGGCGAAGGGTCATCGAATGGTCATTGAAGGCAACCTATAAAGATACTTTAGTAATTGTATCAGAGGGACTAGATCATTTTTCGTAGGCAACATTGAAGGATCATCGAGAGATTATGATCTTTATTCGAGGGTCTTTTGCTAAACCATCTATATTTTTAAGGGACATGACCATTGTTTTCCGAAGACAATAGAGGAGGTTACCCTAGAGGTGTATGTGTGCAAAGTGAGTTCAGTTCAGTTATGTTATCTTGGAATTGTTTAAGGTTATCTACCATTTAATTTTATCTTGCCATACAAGTCTATTATTACACACACACACACACACACACTATATATATATATATATATATATATATATATATATATATATATATATATATATATATATATATATATATATATATATATATATATATATATATATATATATATATATATATATATATATATATATATATATATATATATATATATATATATATATATATATATATATATATATATATATATATATATATATATATATATATATAAGGCATATAGAACAAGTGCCAAAAAGTAAAGTCCTACGCTATTACGGAGCCTTGAGACAATTACATGATAAAGAAATTGTGCGAGAATTTAAACTAGGTTATTACAAAATTTGTACATCCTATACAATTTGTCTAATAAAAGAAATAGCAAAGTAAAATAAAATATTAGTAAATTATTTTTAATGTCCTAATATCTAAAATGTTAGAAATTAATTTTTTTTGTATCTTTGGTTAATTTTGAATGATAAAATAAATAGATTTTAAAACCTAAATTAAATACATAATTAATTATATGAAAACCTTATATCTAAATAATTAAATAAAAGAAAAGTTTGTCTAAAATTAAATTAATCTATTAAAAATCTAAATCTGATTTTATTATATTTTTTGAATTTTTTTGATTTAATAATTAATTAAATGAGTTAGAAAATGTAAAGAAAGA